CTCACGCGCCCATTGGCCGCCGGGTCGCGAGGGGGAGGCCGGGGCCGCGGGGCCGCGGAGCCACGTCGCCCGCCGGGGCGGTGGGCGCGGGACTCGGGTTTCGCCTCGGCCCCTCCCCGAGACCTCGTCGCGAGGGGCGGGCCCAGGCTGTCTAGGCTGAGGACTGGAGGGCTCGTAGGAAGGCCGGGAAGTTCTTTGTCAAGCAACAGATGTTCGGGGTAAAATTCCCTCTCTCTTCCTCCAGTTCCGGAGAACTGAAAAGAGGAGGCGCTGCCCCTCCTCAACTTCCAGCTGAGAACCCGAATCTCAGCCCGACCCTGCCCCAAGATGTACTCTTAAAACAAATTCAACCCAAACTTGGAGTCTGGTTACAAACACAAGAGATTGGAAGGAAATGGGCGAGGTCCCCTAGAAACAAGGGTCGCAAACTCACGTCCGGAGGAGAGCCAAGCAGGTGACTTCAATATGACCGAAGGACCATCCAAACTGAACAGCCCTGTGCACTCCAGCGGCCAGGAGAAGTGCAGGCCTCAAGTTGGCAGATGGTCTCAAAAGAAATCAGGATCTTGGATGTCTGTTTTCATTTCTAAAGGGGAGCAACTCACTTTACAAAAGCACTACATGTCTTAAACAGATCTTTTCTGTACACTGAGTCCGAAGTAATGCTAGCAATATAGAGATGCTCTGTAGAATCTCATGCAGTGATGGAAACGTTCTATAGCTAGGCTGTCCCATAGGGAGTGGTTACTGAACACACTTGACAGGTAGCTAGTGTAACAGGCATTGAAAATTCAAATTTAATTCAAAATTAAATTTAAACTTAAATAGCCACGTGTGGCTAGTGGCTATCATATTGGACAGTACAGGTAAAGCAATGATTCTTTTTGTGTTACAGCTTTTTGAGACTCACTGAAAGCCATGGACCTTCTTACAGAAAAATGCACACACAGCTACTGGCCTAGATGTTTGATTAAAGTGTCAGAGGATTCATGGATCTTCTGGAGCCCCACTTGTGAGCCTCCCTAGTAAATTAAACCTGTGGTTGAAGGGGAGCCCACCCCCACAGCCCTGGACAGCTGTACTCCCAGAGCTTTTCCTCCATCTTGCTCCATCCCTCATCCCCGAGCCTCTAGAAAAGGTCACTGGGCTTTGCTTCCTGCTTTTACAATAAGGATGTCAGGACATTATCAACAGCAGTATAGATCCAAGTACCTTTCTTTTAAAGACTTCTATCAATCAACTAATGTGTAATAATTGTGTGCTCTCCATGGCCTAAGCAGTGGGCTGGGTGCTGAGGGACAATGGAGAGTCATGGTTTCTGGAGAGCTATAGTGTATATGAACAGATATTCACTTATTCACTTCATCTGCCCACTCATTCATTCATTCGCTATACTGAGCACCTACTGTCAGGGCTCTGCTGGGTACTGATTCACTGAGTAGCCATAGATAGCAAATAAGCATGGTAAGTTATCAGGGAGGTAGACATTCAGCATCATGGAGTATGTTAGAGGGGGTTGATT